ACCATTTCAGACTTTAAAAATGACCCTTGTAGAATACAAACTAGTACAGCCACTATGGAAAACAGTGTAGAGATTCCTTAAAGAACTAAAGGTAGAACTACCATTTGACCCTGCAATTCCACTACTGGATACCTACCCAGAGGAAAAGAGGTCATTACACAAAAAAGATACTTGCACACATATGTTTATAGCAGCACAATTCACAATTGCAAAGTACGGAAATAGTTCAAATGCCCATCAATCAATGAGTGGATTAAAAAAAAAACCTGTGATATAAATATATAGAATAGAACACTACTCAGGCATAAAAAAAGAATGAATTAATGGCATTCTTAGCAACATGGATGGACTTGGAGACTATTATTCTAAGTGAAGTAACTCGGGAATGGGAAACATACGTTCTCACAAGTGGGAGCTAAGCTATGAGAATGCAAAGGCATAAGAATGATACAGTGGACTTTGGGGACTTGGAGGAAAGTGTGGGAGGGGATGAGGGACAAAAGACTACAAATTGGGTTCAGTGTATACTGCTTGGGTGAAGGGTGTACCAAAATCTCACAAATGACCACTAAAAAACTTACTCATGTAAACAAATACCACCTGTTCCTCAAAAACTTATGGAAGTAATAAGAAAAAAAAAAAAAAAAGAATGATAAAAAGACTGAAAAAAAAAAAGGCCCTTATAAAAACAAATCATTTGATTTCATGGTTGAAGAGTAGATACAATTTTTAGAGTACAAATACATCATGTTTAACTTGTAATACAAACTACAAATGATGCTTGTATCTAGAGGTGCTAACATCTGGGCAATTTTGGAATAAGTTATATGAACTGAAGTACTTTAAAAGGGCCTTCATTTAGAAAACATGGATAAAAATGGTCCTTGTAGGGTTGGTGCAAATTTATTAGGTTGTTACTGTATTGTGCCTATTACATACATTTTCTCATTAAAAGAAAACAATAGTCTTGTGAGGTTGGAGTTATTTTTTTCCATTTTATAGTCTGAGGAAATCAAGATTGAAGACTGAACAACCTGCCCAGAGTCAAACAAGAGACAGAGAGAATTCAAACCTACATCCTTCTGATTCCCAAGCTCATGTTCAGAAGCCTATGCTACCTATGTGTAAGCATCACCAAGTGTCACCAGAGGATCTTTATATACCCAAGAGAAGCATATTTGCCTTTTAGTTTTCAACACCAGATCTTTTTACAAGAGACATAAAACATAGAAACCCCTTTACATAAAAACTTCAAAAGAATGAATTTTCATTGATTAGAATACAGTTAAAATCATCGCAAAAAGATTTAGCCTGCTACCAACAGATGGTAATGACAAATACACTTTGGGTTGATAGATTTAGGATTAGTTTTTGACTCTAACATATCTGTAATAAGTTGAGGGTTTCTGTACATAGACACATAGGACCCAAAATAAAATGGCAATAAAAATTCACTAAAGGCAATTTCTTTGGGGGGGAAAAAAAAAAGTCACTGTAACTTACTAAACAAAAATACCCAGCTGAAACTGTTTGTATGAAATAAGAAAAGGCTCTACTAACGTTAATTGAAATTTTCCTATCAGCACACATCATGCATAAAATTTATTTCTATACATATTCTTTCCACCCCTAAACTGCAATAAGTCCATGCTAAAGCACTAGCTTTTCAATTTGAGCATTCATGCATGAAAATTGATAGTTTTTTTGTGATTATATTGACAAATTTAAAGGGTGAAATTTCACTATTTGTAAAACAGACAAAGTCTTAATTGTCATTGTTCAAAATGAATGAAAATTCAATCTCCTGACTTAAGTTAGGAATTCATTTTAAAAGCTGAAGTCTATCACTTCTTAATGTTTGCTACTTCAATAGCATCCTTTTATTTATTTATTTATTTATTTTTTGAGATGGAATCTCGCTTTGTCACCCAGGCTGGAGGGCAGTGGCGCAACCTCCGCTCCCTGCAACCTCCGCCTCCCAGGTTCAAGCGATTCTCCTGCCTCAGCCTCCCTAGAAGCTGGGATTACAGGTGCCCACCAGCTTGCCAGGCTATTTTTTTTGTATTTTTAGTGGAGACGGAGTTTCATCATGTTGGCCAGGCTAGGTTTTTGAACTCCTGACTTCAAGTGATCCGCCCACCTCGCCCTCCCAAAGTGCTGGGATTACAGGTGAAAGCCACCTCGCCCAGACTTCAATAGCATCCTTTTAACAAATAATAGGCACTAGTACATGAGGGAGAGACGGCCCATATTTTAACTACCATAAACAGACAAACAAATACATTTTAAAAAATTAAATGAAGGTGTAATTTTCCTTATGTTCACAATTACAATAACTCATTCTCTTACCCCCTCCATATATATGTACACATATATGGAGGGGGATATGTACATATATATAGATGGGGATATGTATATACATATGGAGGGGGATACATGAATATATTAATATATAAACATATAACCACCATATGAATATGTATACTAATACACATGTGACTATACATGTATACATATATATATAGTACACACAAAAAGCATAGTCATATATGTGCATGAGTATATATATTCCTATGTTTATTATATGCTAAAATTGTGTGTATGCTAAAAATCTTTTTGGCAAGTTTTTAAACACATGGGATTATGGTACCATCTTATTCTTTAAGGATAACTTAATAAAACCGAGTTAAGAACTTGCTTTAGTTTATCATATCAGAACCTGAAATGGTAATTAATTAAAACCTATCTGTTACTCTAAATAAAAATAAGGTATGATCTTTTAAATAAATAAAATTTGAATTATGTTATTGCCTCTTATTCACTGATTAACTAAAAAAAGTGTTATTATTTATTATTCCTTTGAGATATTAGAAATCACTTCCTGTTCTAGTTAAGAGTCAAAAAAGACTAAGAACCATCCATAACAAAGTTTTCACTACCAAATATAAATTTTAGTTTAAGAATATCATGACTATGAAAGGAGTGTCTTCCCAGATAATCTAGATAATGGATTATTGATCGGGTTTTAAACTGTAGAATGCAGTGGTTTAAAAAACAAACAAAAAACCTTACCTGTACAGCAGTGAGTCAGATAATAGAGTTGGTCTAGGAGATGTTGTTGAGGACTTAGGTGAAATTGCTTTTGTTGCTATTGCATATTTAGTCTTTTCTTTCCGTAAAAGCTAATTCAACATAATATCAGCATTGCTGATTGTGGAAACAAGTGCTGTCACTCTGACTGAAGCCTCTCCATGATTAGAGAAAATACTAAAAAATAATTTGTCATCCTATCTGAATAAGAAGTGAAAAGCCATTCATTCATTCATTCATTCATTCATTCCACAAGAGTGATTGAGCCTTATTATATATATGCAATGTATTATACTAGAGTCAGAGAAGACAGAAATAATGGTAAGAGAAAAATACAATAAAAGAAAGGGTAAGGCAAAGCCATTGACCATAAAAAACTTAGGATCTAGTTCAGTAAAAAGATATGCATATACTGGACTAAGAGGAATGTTGTGCTAATAAAAGAGTAGTTCAACACATAATGCAGAAAATATGAAATATTAACAGGATTACATTTTATTTTAGCAAAGGTTTTGTGCACGTCACTATATAAAGAACTAACCTGCTGAAAATGACAAATGCCCTTCAAAGAAGGAGTGCTAAAAATTGGAGTTGAGCAAAACAAAGGAAAGTCAATTCCTTGTAGTTACACATTTTTAAAGCTGAATGGCAAAAATAATTTAATTTTTGAATTGCTATATTACTGTCAAAATTCAGACACCCCTATCTTAGTTTTCCATTATACTTTATCTTGGGGAAGACTATTATGACTAGTTGATATGGTTTGGCTCTGGATCCGTACCCAAATCTCATCTTGAATTGTAATCCCCGTATCCCCACATGTGGAGGGCAGGACCTGGTGGGAGGTGATTGAATCATGGGGGCAGTTTTCCCTGTGCTGTTCTTGTGATAGTGAGTAAGTTCTCATGAAATCTGAGCGCTTTATAACAGAGTCTTCCCCTTTCGCTTGTTCATTCTCTTTTGCCTGCTGCCATGTAAGACACGCCTTTGCTTCTCTTTCACCTTCTGCTATGATTGTAAGTTTCCTGAGGCTTCCTCAGACATGCAGAACTGTGAATCAAGTAAACCTCTCTCTTTTATAAATTATCCAGTCTTGTTTATGTCTTCATAGCAGTGTGAGAATGGACTAATATGCTAGCTAAAAATTTTAACCTTTAAATTAAGATAATTGTGTTGAGTACATAAAAATGAAAAAAATTAAAGCTATTTATGATTGTCTTTAAACAACATTAAAAGGAAATGGTATGTTTTTAATGGAAAAAGGGCGCTTGTAAAGAATTGCAATTAAAACTATAAAAAATTCCAATGTCTTATAAAAATCAAGATATTTTTTCCTGTATTTATCAGTTATGAACATTTTTCTCAATATACCAATTAAGTTCATTCAGACACAGGCACACTCAAACTGACAACTTTCCCAAAAGGGGAGGTCATATATGATGCTCTCTGTGAGGTGAATACATTAGTGCAGGCTCCTGAAACATAGTATCAAGTTAACCCTTTGACATGTTCCAAGTAGACAGCACTTCAGTGGGCATTTCACAATTAATTAGACAGGCTGGCATTCTATTTCAGCAATGGTTTTGTGCAGTTCACTACACAAAGAACTAACCTGCTGAAAATAACAAACACCCTTCAAAGGAGAAGAGCTAAAGACTGGAGTTGAGCAGAACAAAGGAGAGTCTACTTTTCGTAGTTACAAATTTTTACAGCTGAAAGTGATCAGCAGCAACCTTCTTTAGAGCAAAGACAAAGAACAATTTTCAGATACACAGGCCAGAAGACCACAAAGAAAGTTAAAAAAACAAAAACAAAAACAAACAAACAAACAAAAAACCAACATAAAATGAACTTGCTGAGAACAAACTGTAAATATTTCCCCAAACAGTACCATAAAAGGTTGAACTTACCTGATCTACTATCCAGCGGTCCAAAATCCAAAGAATATTTCACGACATGATAGTTATTCCATACATAAAGCAGGTTGTCCCTGGGGTTGTAATCCACAGCTGCAATGTACTGGTATGAATTGGGAAAGGGTACATCCACCAAACTATCCTTGCTTTGGTCAGTGTTGTAAATGTAGTCAATCTTATTTCCAGTGGCCTCATTGTCATCATCCTCATATACAGATTTGACCACATACAGAATTCCACAAATCATAAAGGCATTGGAAGCTGACCTTTTATCATATGCAGTATCCCATGTTCCTTCGATCCGTAGGGTGTAAGGGTTCAACTGACTAATGACAATTTTACCGTTGTTTTGTTCTGTTGCATAGATTACCCATAGCCCATTCTCATCTACTGCCAGGTCTATGTCAGATTTGCCTCCCCATCGGTAAGGGGAGGTATCATGGTAATTGGCATTTGCTATGATAGCCTCTCCACTCTTTATCCTAGTCCGCAAATCAAACTTTACTATGTTCCTGGTGCGCTCTTTGTTGAAGAACAAAGCTCCATCATACACTACAAATCCTGTGCCATCCACCCTATGAGGGAGCTTGTAGGTTGTAGTTGGTCTTCCAGCAATGAAGTCATCCTTGGATGAATACTCAGTCAGGGTATCAGTTCTGTAGGGAGTCCAGGGCATATAATAAATCTTGTCAGATGCCTGCAGAGGGTCTTTGCACCACGCCCCAGATTGGTGGTCAGACTCAAACAAATGTTCACTCTGGTATACTCCTTTTAGTAGTCCAGGACAAAGAAAAACTGTTGGAAGGGAAACAGTTAAAATAAATAAATACATTAATTTCATATTTTGTTATTTAGTCTTATTTTTCACCAAATGGAATGCAACTCTAACAGGAGATACCCACCATCACTTATTTTGCTGCATTCTTTTAAGAACACAAAGTATTCTTCCACATTAATTTTGGCTTCATTTCAAAATCATTTTGATTTCGATAACTGAAAAATATCTAGCCTTTTTGTGAGTAGCTGTGCCTTCCTGTGATTGTTACCTTTGTAAACACGCTACAATATTTTTGGAAATATATATTAGATGTGACATATGTCTACGTATTCTATAGACATATAAGAAACACAAATGTTTATACACAATACTTTTAATAGTTCACTGAAGAACATATTTCAAAACAAAAATTATTGTTTCCATTCTGATGAAATTAGCCATTCAGTAGTTATCATTAAGAAACAGATGAATATCCCATAGTAATTTTTTAATAAAGGAAAAGAAAAGCCCTGTAATACAGGCCACTGAATCTTTTAGCAAAAAAGCTCTCAAAGTTGCTACAACACACACAGAGCATGCAACCCACACAATTAAAAATGAGTGATGGATGGATACTGGAAGGAAAAGAGAAAGGAAGAAAAAGAAAGGAAAGAAGGAATAAGGAAAGAAGAAAAGGTGAAAGGTTACAGAAAAGAACCCAAGATCTAGATTTTAATCAGTTAAAAATGTCCTGTTAAATACAGTAGTATTGGAACTTAAAAACATGTACCTTTTACTGTTACATGAAAAGAGCATTAAAACCCAAGATTACTTGCTATAATATTTTGCTGCTCATACTTCAGAATGAAAATGGCTAGGAATCATCTGATTCACTTGATTTTTGTATGATTCAGTAGCATATCATGTGAATGGTGGTAAGAAAGCCTGGCTGATTCATCTGCAGTGAAGGGGCTATAAAGCAATGTTTCCCAAAGGTTGGTCCTTGAATCACGTGTTTCAAGTGGCATAGCTAGATGTTACACAGAAAGAAAAAAGGGATCCTTACCCACATGTGTTTAAGAAATGTTATATTAAATATAACTGTAGCAGAGATTCTAATAGCATAGGTACATTTGTGAATCTCCAAGGCGGAAGTGGGAAGGGTGAGCAAATTTCACACACTAATTGGATCATGGCACCTTTATTATAGAGCTTCTTTGGAGTATAGAGTTCCACTGAACCTACTATGGGAAACACTGCTCTAATATATTTGCAAAGCAAATACACTGAAAAATAATCATGCAGTCTACTGTTATATTTTGGAATGATTAGAAGTGTACTGGGTGAAAAAATTAGAAAACCACCGTAATTTGGACTTTGACCCTTTTTTAAATGATTAAAGTAGTATTATTTTGGCATTAGTGATTAGCTTTTAAATAGCAACTATAAGCATAGATGCAATGGAAAACAATCTAAGATGAAACTCGGGTAGATTTTGGAGATTATCGAAAAGAAAAGTATATTACTAAAATGCCTAAAGTTTTACTTTTAGAGAAATAAGAAGTTTGGGAACAGGCTAACTACCAAAATCTTCCATAGCAAGGACAGAGGGCCATCATCAATATACAATCCATAATAATATTGATTATAAGAATTTCATATGCTTGCTATAATTATAAAGGATAGGTATCCATTGTTATCAAAACTGTATATAAGCTTTATGCTAAAATTAATAATCATCCTTGATGACTAAAGTAATTTACTTTAGGTGGTTCGGAAAACTATTTCCCTTTTCCCCCAATAGTTAAAAATTAATGGAATAGGGAAACCATGCCAGAGCTATGAAAAATTGTCTAGTATAGAAATAAAAACAAATTAAAGCAACTACTATTCATCACCATGAGTTGGATTTCTAACTACTCAAAAATAAAGGGGAATAAAATACACTGTGGAAACTTTTATACTACTAAACTCTTCTTAGATAAAAGAAGCTGACACTTGTCAGTAATACAGATTAAAGTGAAGTTGAGCAGCAGAAGTAGTAAATAAATTTTCATAAAATAGATAAGAATTAATAACAAAATTATTGTAACTAAATGTTAAACTGTTAAATAACTTAGCCTATAAATAGTATATAATTTATGAAAGGTATTTAATTACCTTTTTGTTCCACTTCTATTGGAGAGAGAGAAGTAAAGAGAGAAAGGAGAAAAGAGAATAGATTAATGGTACGGTATTGGCCAAGCACTTTTTATTCACCTCTTCCAAACTGAAAGTAAATAATTTATTTCACTCATACTTGCTTTATTGAACATTATATGTTTTAATAAACTCATCTCTCTAATACAGTTATTTAAAAATAATCATATTATATTCTTTAAAATATATTATAAACTTTGAGAAAAAGGGTAAAAATTAATCAAACTATGATTAAATAAACACACCATTCCAAATTACAGACATAGGAAATGCAATATTCATAATAAGAACACAAATATTTCCATTTGAAAGGCAGGTCAATAGTTACACAAAGAAAGCTTTCAAATAGTTTGACTAGTCTCACTTATAAATATTATAGTCTATACCACTATTTCACATAATAGTTATGTTTTCTATGCATTTCAAAGAGTTTGTTCAGAAGAAGAACTACTCGGCAACTCATTTCCTAAGGCCTAAGATTTCCTGTAGCTTGTCAGTCTTATGAGAAATGCACATCATGCGACTACACATTAATGTGGAATGCTCTTACCCTAAATAAATTGATTTGGAATCCTTATTGAAGAAACTTTTATCCCTGACACTCAGTAATATTTGATATTACTATGGAAAAAATATTGTGTTTCAGAAAAATATGTTATCAGAAGGTTTAGAAAAATAATGAGCCACTGGCTCTGGTCATTTCTGAAACTCTTAACAGAGTCAACATACACTTATAAAAATAGAGATCCTCAAACATGTTATGTTTATACATTTCAAATTAAATTCCATAATTATTTTTAAGGTATTGACCAATATAAGTCAGTAAAAAATTTGGAAAATTGTTAACATATTCACAAACTCAGCAAGCAGCATCTCTTTATCTTATAAACATTTTGTTTCACCAAAGACAATGTGCTATATTCTAACATGAAAAGAGGGACCAATAAGAAAAAAGAGGAGAATGTCAGGGAAGAATAGTTCACAACACAAACTTCAAAAAATCACAGATTTCAAGTGATGTAAAACTAAAGCAATTTCAGTGGAAGAGATGAACTCAGATATTATGCACAATAAATAAATGTAAAACTGTAGTAAGATTTCAAAAACAAGTGAGAAATACTGTTTGGGATAATTACATTTGGGTGATATCTTTATACTTTGATCTAAGCTTGCATGTTTCCAGTTATTGTCAAATCCACACTCGTTTCTCTCCAACGACTTTTTTGAAGCCTCAATATCATGTTGCAAAGTGATACTGAGTAGTGATATTCCTCAATCTCACCAAGGAAAAACTGGCATATATCAAAAGTTCTGCTTAGAAAGTTGCAAATAAGGTTATCAAATTTTAGATCCTTCATCTCACTAATAAATATTATTATGTTTTAAATAATTTCAACTTTTATTTTAGAATCAGGGGTACATGTACAGGTTTGTTACATGGATATATAATGTGATGCTGAGGTTTGGGGTACAATTGATCCCATCACCCAGGTAGTGAGCATAGTACCTAATAGTAAATTTTTCAACCCTTGCCCCCCTCCCTCCCTCTCTACAAATATTATTTTTAATGATATTTCTTGGATGCTTTTAAAAACTCTATTATATTGTCATAATTTATCATCATCCTCAATTAATCTTTATTGAGTAACTCCAGGGTTTACTGGACCATATGTCTCAAATAGGCTAATACAGGCATCTCAAGCCTTATCTGGGATGCACTTCATGCTTATACCAGAATAATAATAAACCTGTGTTCAGACTGACAACTAGAAGCAGCATAACTAAGCACCTTAACAAATTGCATAATTGATAGTCTCCAACGTGTAGATTTGAGGCCCATTATAATGAAGGCTGAGGTTGGGGATAGAAAGTCATACTAGAGTTGATATTTTTCAACTACTAGCCTACAAAGAAGTTTTCAGAACTAATTTTGTTCCTTGAAATAGCCTTAGATAGAGATATATTTCTGATAAATACACACACAGAGAGAGTTTTACATTCTAAAACACAGAAATGCACGTTCATGGAAATTTAGTCTTCTTTCACATAAAACTCATACACAATCTTATTTTTGAGTGGAACTATCCTAACTTCTTTGTGAGTTTTATTTATCTCTTCAACAAATATTTAATGAGGAAGGAAGGCTGTGTGACAAAAAAAGTATTGGCAATGGTATCTGTTATATTCTTCAAATATTATCTTACACTTTAATGGAAATTTTTATTTTTTGAAGAGTTTTAACCTCTATTAACTCAACTGCCATTTAGTACAATTTTGGTTTTGATTCTCTGGTCCTGTTTAATATCAGAGACACTGGCATAAGCTGTACAATAAGTAAAGCTTGCCTCTGTTGATTGCTGGTTACTCAAAATGAAGATTTATTAGGCTGTTGTGCTTTGGAGAAAATTATTATGATCTTGCCCATGTCATGACTGGCTGTAGCTCATTTATCATTTATTTGATATTTTCAAGACTGAAGTAAAATAGTCCTATAATTTAAGTTGAAACAAGTGCATACAAATCATATTCCCATAACAAAAACTGGCAAGACAACATAATTTGTCATTGAAAAGCTTAGTAACACTAAGGATTGGCCAGTCATTACCTATCATTTAATTCTGATTCTAGAAGCTTCCCTACACTGAATAAATAATCAAATTACATGAATACAAGAAACAAGCACACTAGTACATCCTGCATAACCACATAATAAATACTCAGTGAATAGCTCTTGAATTAAACACATAATCCAAATAACATTGAATAATTTTGCTTCTTGATATTTAAAGCATGTTGTAGAAAGAAAAAGTGGTGAAATAGAATCTGCATTCACTATATAAAATCATATTGCAATGCATTATCTGCATAATGTCTGTATATTTTAATAGGTGGGGAGGAAAGTAAAATTTATAAGCAATTTATATCTCTAACCCATTAAATGTAAAACTGGAGAGCAAAAGAAGAAAAAGTATATGGGTGGTATTGTGGGTTATACTGGCAAAAAACATTTGTTGCTATGAAACAGCCTGCAATGATCTAAAAATACAGGCCTAAAATACTCTCTTCCCTCCTCTCTGTAATAAGATAATAAATAAATGAATTGCATGATGACAACTGTGTGAGGGCCTTTTTCAGGATCTCTTGTTTTTTAGTCTAGTCCAATATCCTGAATTCTGGCATAGCTGTCATTGTTCATTTCCAAAAGTTTTTGAAACTAGTTTGTCTCCTTTTCTCTCTACACTTTTAATTTCCAAACTATTTTTACTGTGCATTCAGCCTCTATAAATCTGTTTATATATTTCCTTAAAGTGATTTCATCGTTATCCTTTGTCAAACTTAATGTCATAAGCTATATCCTGTGGTTAGAGTAAATGACAAATTCAATTAAGGAAAATTTTATTCTGTATCAAAGAAAGAAACAGGTAAAAATGACTAGTAAATTTTCCTCTATATTTTCCAAGAGTTCATAAAATAGATACAATATATAGTTATGCTACTGTTTTGAAAAATAAGATATCTGTTCAGCCATTTCTGAATCATATGCAATACCTTTGAATTGCATTGTTTAATTAGAAAAGGCATGGATCAGAGAGCATATGTATGTATTGCCAAGCTTTTTAAAATTACATTACAAAATAGAAATACATTTGTTGCATGCCAAAAAATGTTAATGCCATAACTAAGAATTATGAACTTGTATTCAATTCTAATGTTTAAATTATCTTTTCTTTTAAACTACAAAAATCATGGAACACATTTTCTATTTACAATGTAGAATGTTACAATCCAATAATGCCCCTATATTTCTGTAATCTATAAGGAAAAAGACACTTATAGGGGACATAACATGGTAATAAAATATTAAATATTATAAACTTTTTTTTTCATTGCAATGTAATAGTATTGTTAACAGAACAATTGTCCTTATTACATTTGGTTTAGACTATTAAAATACACTTGGGTACCCTTATCACATCCCAGCGGGGCAGCTGGGATATGGCAGAAAGGCAAACTAAGAAAGTAATAAAAAAATCACAACCAGTTACCTATAAGTTGCATAATCAAAAGCTCACAATAATACAGGTTGAGCATCTCAGATCTAAAAATCTGAAATAAAAAATGTTCCAGGCTGGGCACGGTGGCTCACGCCTATAATCCCAGCATTTTGGGAGGCCAAGGTGGGTGGATCACAGGAGTTTGGGAGTTCGAGACCAGCCTAGCCAACATGGTGAAACCCCATCTCTACTAAAAATACAAAAATTAGCTGGGTGTGGTGACCCATGTCTGTAATCCCAGCAACTCGGGGGGCTGAGGCAGGAGAATCACTTGAACTCACTTGAACCCAAAAGGCAGAGGTTGCAGAGAACCAACATCGCACCACTGCACTCCAACCCAGGTGACAGAGTGAGACTCCATCTCCAAAAAAAAAAAAAAAAAAAAAAAAAAAATGTTCCAGTGAGTATTTCCTTTGAGCATCATGTTTTCAGATTTTGGAGCATTTCGGTTCTCCAAAGGCCACTGCACCCGACCTTAAGTAGACATTTAAGTGCAGGCATTCTCATTATCCCAACTTTTCAAATGAGGAAACTGAGGAACAAATATCATGGCTCTATGGCTAATAAGTTTAGGTAGCTAAGCTTTGTTTAGGTAGAGTTGAAACAGGAATATATTGAATATATTTTAAAATCCCAAACATCAGAAATCTGAAACATTACTGATCCCAAGCATTTCGGATAAGGGATACTCAGCCTATACTTTATATATGAACAGCATTTTATAATTTAATAAAATGTTTTCACATGAATCAACTTATTTAGTTATTGAAGAATTAACAGCACAGTAATGTGATGCAGTATTTATTATTCCCATCAGAGAAGAGTAAAGAGGGTCAAAACACTAAAGGATTTGACCAAGGTCAACCCTGGTAGGTGGCACAGTCCTGCCATTTGTCTAATACCATACGCTGACTCTCACAA